CTGTGAACTGACAACCAAGAAGAACAGACAGCAACCAGAGAATGACATATGTGACAGCATCACCCTGAACTCAATTGACAAATGGAAGAGTCAAGGACAGAAAAAAATGATAAGAACAGAGGATCTGGGAGGTCAGTTTATGATCAAAACAATTACAATGTGAAAGAAGGTAAACACAGAGTAAGAAAGATCTAGGTGGTGGGAAGGTCAGGTAGATTACAGGATAAAATAAAAGGAGGGAAGAGTTAATGGAATATAAGGTAACCACAACAATGGGATTGTGGAGAGCAATACAAGAAGGGGGAGGAGGTGGAAGAACAAGATAGATAGGGGAACACTGAGACAGGTTTGCATGGCCTAAGTGGGACAGAGGTAAATAGTGATGCATGCTCAACCTTGGAACTACAGGGATCTGTTATACAGGGATCTAGGCATAGTTTGAAGAGGGGAAATAATACTAAAATGTTTGACTGTCTTTTGAATATTGGTTTCCCTTGCCTCTCTATTGTAAAAAGACACTTGAGTGGGCTGGAAAGGAATGTTGGGAAACAAGATTACAGAAAACTTGTAAGCCTGTCTTCAGCCTATCAGCCTATAACTGATTGGAATATTTAAAAGGAGTTCTACAACGTGCCCAGTGAAATAGGCCTCTTGCAAAGCCTTTGCAGGGTATAGGACCTTAGGTGGAATCCTGAGTCCCATCCAGAACCTTATGAGGTGGGACATTTCCACTAGCAAGGACAAGCAGACCAGCCTGGAACAGCTAGAATGACAGAAAATACATCTTCAAAGAAAGATCATCAGGAAAATCCCAAAACAAAAATGTCAGCATGACAGGCTACTACAACAATAAGCAATCTGTTTGCCAGGAAGCCATCAAGGCAAGCATTCAAGTTCCTTCAAGACAAACTCCCCTCTAAGACTGAAACTCAAAGGAAACACACAAACAGGCATGTAAGCTTGCTGGTGACCACATTGGTCTATTAATGAGTGGAAGATCGGGAAAGGCAGCAATGAAGAAATGGGCCGAGTTCAACCACAGTCCATTGACTCCCGTTGACATGGAGATAAGAGAGCGAAGAGGAAGGGCTGGTTGGTCCAAAGTGTCATGAGACCTGAGGACACTTGAGCCCATGGATAAGGACATAGCCACAGAGGACTAGAGCTGAGATTAAAGCATCCAGCTGATATGAAGTGAAGGGAGATGCACAAGAACATCCGAACTTGCAGACAGTACCCATTTGACCTAGCCTCAATAGCTGGATAATCAGAACTCAACTAGAGGAAGATTACACACAAAAAAAATTTTTTTGATAAAGGAAACAAGGGTAAATTGCTACAATTTGATGAGCCTGACCTATACTCATGGAGGTAGTAACTCTAAATACCAACATGAGAGGGAAGGAGTCTTCACACCAAGTATCAATGCTATCCCCTCTGTACATAGAGTAGATAGGGATGGGCAACTTTGACATTGGCTACCTAAAATGAGGGGGCGATACAGGCACGAAGTGACTGGCTTACAAGGTTTCAAGAGGGAGTTTAGTTTAAAGAGTATGGAGGGAAGGAAAGAGTCCCCACTGAATAGTTTTTATCTTGTCTAGTTGAAAAGAGATGGGGATAAGATTCAGATGATTCAATAGTGAATAATTGTTATTATGACTAATTGCGACTGTCACATTTGTAAAGGTAGAAGTTTTGTAACAAAAACAGGGGAGTGGTTAATCTTACAGTCCAGAAACAGAGAACCCTAGGACCATCAAAGGAGAAGTGCACAAGCAGAATGCGGGACCTTATCCAGAGAAGCAGTGATGCCAGAGATGAGGTAGAGATGGGGTCATGAGAGGAGGAGCGGCTGAGGACTCTAAATTCATGGGAAGAGAGGGACTAAGAGCTGGTGGCCAGGAGGCAGACTTGCAGAATGTGCCGTTTGGAGGTGTAAATTATCACATATGCCTGAGTGTTTTTTGTTGTGTTTTTGTTTTTTTTAAATAAAAAAAAAGCAAAAGTGGATAGAAATACTGTTAACTGATGGTACATAGAGGGGATTATAATCATTGTAATGAAACAAGCTGTATGATTTGTTTAATGTAAAACTGATGATCTGCCCTATAAACTTTCACCCAATCCACAATAAAAACCTTTTAAAAAAAAAAAAAAAGTTTGGTAGGGAGCTAAAGCCAGGAATGATGTTCTGAGAGGAGAGAATACTCGTTCCAGGCCCTGCAGTTTGAGACTACATGGTGTGTTGTTGCTGTTGTTAAGTGACGTCAAGTTGATTCCAATTCATAGCAACCCTGTATAGGATTTCCAAGAAGAAGCTGGTGGGTTTGAACTGTCGACCTTGTGGTCCTACAGCGCCACACTGTTAGGTACTGTCAAGTCAATTTGGACTCATGGTGAGTCCACGTGACAGAGCAGACCCTTATGGGAGCTTGAGGTTTCCTAAACTGTGACCTTTACAGGAGCAAATCCTTGGGTCTTTCACCCACGAAAGGCCTCGGTGGGGTTGAGTCTTTTAGTCACAGCTAAACACTTAACACTGTGGAAGAGCTCTGGAGAGCTTATGGGGTAGAGGTGAGGACCACCCTGCTAGCTCTGTGGAATGAGTCCGTGAAATGCTGAAGCCAGGTAAATTCAACTTCATTTGCACAAATGGTGTAGGCACAGTGAGCCTCTCTTATCAGGGCATGGTGGGAACCCTCCAGAAATCCAAACTCCCAGATGCCAGCCAAGGGCCAAGTGTGCAAACAGCGCTTTCTAAGGAGAGCAGGTCTCTGCTGCCGCTAACCCTCTAGACAGACATCCTCCTTGGTTCTTCCTTTTCGGTTTATGGCAACATAGTGCAGTCTCCAGGTACCAGGTTAAGTTTGTATTATCGAATTTTAACTAATTTATGTAGCACTAAAAAAAAAAAAAAACAGACAAGTGGCTTGAAAATTATCACTTCAAAGAAAACCTAAGTCAAAGCAAGCATTAAATCACATCAAGTGGCATGTCTACTCAGAGTAAGAGATCTTTGTCAGACTCATGGTGAGGTAAAAACATGGACCTCATTTCACCTTTCGAACTCTGTTTTAGACTTCCAAGTTCTTTAAGTATTCGTGTTTAAAATTGTTTTCGTGGCAGTAGAACAAGATCAAAAAAAGTTTGGAGACCATTTTTCCACGAACTTCTTGAAACCCCTTGTACACGCAGCCTCTGGCCTAATAGTACTTGTTGAATGAAGAGATGACTGGATGGTGGGATCTGTAAGGTCCTAATGCCTCTGGCAGACAGCAGCATATGATGTGCTCAGTCCTAAATCCCAGGGATTGGTTGGCTGGCCCCTTCCCCTCCCTGTTCTGTTTACTTTCTTGCATCCTCGTGTAATAATCTGATTCATACTATAGCCTTCCTACACCCTCTCTAAAGCACTGGGATTCGTTCTTGCTTGTCAACTCCTCCTTGTTTTTGAAATCAATGAATAGAAACATAAGCCCCCACCTGTGCTGTTGTCAACTTTCACACTTCACAACTCAGTGTTTCTGAACAATTCTGTACAATTGCTGTGATGCTGTTATCCATCTCTTGATTTCGGGGTTGACCTTGCATTCTCACCAGCCAGTTCCCATTTTTAGAAATAAAATGGCCAGGGGAAATGTCTGTCTCTGAAAAGCTGGGGAGCCACATTGCTGGAAAGACAGAGGCAGAGAGCACCTGCAAAGGGACTGTCCTCTCCAACCTGCCTGCCTCTCCTCCTACCACACCTACCTTTCAGCTGGGTTCCCCTCAGGCAGGCTGTGAATTTTCAGAACTTAGCTAAACAGAGTTGAGGGGAGAACAAACGAAAGACCAAAAACTAAGAGCTTACAGGGTACATAACTGTTGTCCCCAGATGCTAGTGTCCACACCCAGGGAAAGGCCAGCTGGGGCATGGCAGTGATGGCAGTGCAGGTTGGCAGCAGGTGATCAGAAGGCCCCCAGCCTGTCCCTGCCTGCTGGGACCCAGGTGAGCAGGTGGCAGACACCTGTCAGAACTTGCAGTTCACATTAGCCACCAGCCCAGGGCCAGGCATCAGGGCATACTTTTGTCCTGGAAAGCAGGAGTGTGTCAGGCAGGGCCTCAATCCTGAGGGAAACCAGGGTCCAAGTGTGGATTCAGCAGCAGGGACCCAAGTGGCCTAAACTACAAAGGGGAGGCAGACTGGGAGGCAGGAGCCAAGCTGCATCTGTCCCCTCTTTTCCAGAGGTCAGTCAGTGTTTCTCCTCTGACCTTCCTGCTAACTGAGCTGCCCTGAGCTAGGGCTAGCTCTGGGCTTCGTGCTGCCCTGCTCCTCCAGCGCTGACCACTGATACCAAACAGAAGAGCCTGGCAGGCTCCTTCACCTTGTGTTTCTGTGCCCTCCCCACACCCTACTTACCATCCAGAATCTGTTTGTTCCTTGGAAGAGGCCCACCATGCAGGCTCAAGTGAGGAGACAAGATTCATCCACAGCTCCGTCTCCCTCACATACAAGGTGCCCAAGAGAGGCAGGGAGACGGATAGGGCAGGCTGCGGGCTGGTCTGTCATGCCCAAGTGATTCCTCAGTGTTCCTTGGTTCGTCTCTGTGTGACTGACCCTCTGGGCTGGGGGGGTCCAGTGAAGGCAGACTTTGTGTGATACACCCCTGTGTGTTCAGTGCCCTGGTTCTGACAAGGGGCCAATAGTGCTAAATGTGCATGGAACTTAAATTTGTTTAAAGGATTGTTGCTGTGGGGTTGCTTCCAACTCACAGCCACTCCGTAGAACAGACTAGAGCTGCCCAGAGGTTTTCCACGGCTGTGGTCTTTACAGGAATAGGTTACCAGCTCTTTCTCTCATGGAGTGGCTAGTGGGTTCCAACTGCCCACTTTTGCTTAGCAACCAAATAGGGTACTTTGTCCCTATCATCTGGGATTCCCCCTGCCAAGATGATCTCACAGATGGCAAGGTTTATCCACCTAGCAGCTAATACCTTCATTTTCTCATGGCCTCTAGGTCAGAACCTGGATTCTCACCGTGGGCTACACAACCGCCTTTGGGGCAATGTTTGCAAAGACATGGAGGGTCCACGCCATCTTCAAAAATGTGAAAATGAAGAAGAAGGTAATCACCCTGCTTCTGCCTTGGCTGTCATCAATGTTTTCCTTCACATTTATTCCCCAGAAATTGATTGTGATTGGTTGTTGTTAGCTGCCGATGAATCTACTCCAACTCCTATCCACCCCATGTATAACACAACAAAAGTTGCCTGACCCTGCACCGTCTTCATGGTCTTTGACCTGTTTGAGCCTGTGGTAGTGGCCATTGTGCCCAATCTGAAGGGCTAGTCTTCCAGCACTGTCTTGGATAATGTTCTTTTGTGATCTGAGGTTTTCATGGGCTAATTTTCAGCGATAGATTGCCAGACTGCCTTAATCTGTCTTCATCTTTAAATCCTGCACAAACCTGTCCACCATGAGTGACTTTGCTGGTATTTGCAATACCAGAGGCATAGCTTCCAGCATCGAAGCCACACATAAGCCAGACTAACAAATGGATGGTAAAAACATGTATTAGACCCATACTGTGTACCAGGCACTGGGCTACTTGCTGGGGATCCAAGCTAAATATGGTGCCTACCTCCTGATGCCTTCAGCCTGCAGGCAGCTAGCAGAGCATTTATAACACGTGGTGATAAAAGCTGGCTGGGCTCACAGAGATACTAAGGAAGCATAGATTTCGGGGTGGGGATGCAAGGCACTCAGGGAAAGCTTCCTGTCCCAAATAGCACCTACACTGAGACCTGGAGGGTGGGCGGCAGTGGGCCAGGCAAAGAGAATGGGAAGCTGCAAACATGATAGACCGAGCAATGTCCCCAGAAGCCTGGGGGTAGACAGCAAAACTGCCAAGGCATGGGGTTTATTATGACAGGAAGGAATCTGAACTGATGGCAGTGGGGGCCCTTAAAAATGGGGAGTGAAACAGGGCAGGAATCTGATGTAATGGTTCCATTTTCAAAGACGTCCCTGTGAAGACAGGTGCTCTGCCTTCATGTGGGTAAAAGCATTTGCTCCTGTGTGGTGGGCTGTTCTCACAGTGGTGACTCTCGGGATGTGGTCATAGAGAAACTGTCCTCTGGTGTCCTTTCCACGTGCTCTGGAGTAAAATTTAGGGCAAGACCCATGATTGAAGGTCCGCTGTGAGCATGTGGAGTTCTTCATAATATTCAAAACTTCATACTATTCAGAGGAATATCTTGTTCCATGGCTAGCTCTAGGCTTCAAGGTGGGCACCTACCTTGGGAAAGCAATGGCAGGTGGGTGAGTTCTCTCTTTTCCAAGCAGAGTTTGAACCCCCATCATCCCACACACCGAGACTTTTGACCCCTCCAGAGCTGGAGCTCAGATGGTGGAAAGGGCTTTACTACACCAACTCGGCGAGGAGCTGATCTCAGGTTCCCTAGCAGTTCAAATCCACAAGCCTCTCCATGGTAGACAGATGAGGCTTTGTGCTCCAGAAAAGATTTACAAGCTCAGAAACTCTGCACGGGGTCACTGTGAGTTGGAACCAACTCCATGGCACACAGCCATCAGCAACTACCTAAGACTCAAATAGGATGCTTTTCTGGGTTCTCCAAAGACCCCCATCACGGAGACTCCTTCTGCAGTACCTTTGATGTGGGTGAAATACTCCCCTGACTTGAGGCTCCTCGGACCCTGATGGTTTACCCACTCCCCAGCTCACCTTGCCCAGGACCATACCACCTCTTGTACCCACAGGAAGCGTTCATGCATCCTTTGCTCCTATAAACTCCTGGATGATGGGGCGGGAGACCCAATTACAGTAGTGCTCCCTTTTTGTTTCACCTTTAAAGCAGCTGGCCAGCCCACTCCTCCATTTAGGACTCTCAGGCAGGAAATGGGCCCCCCAGGTTGCACGGGACCCCTATCAAGTCATGAAGTGGTCTCTTAAAACCTCTCTCTTGATTTGGTGTCAAGGCAGGAACACTGCCCCCTCCATCCTTTCACCTCTCTTAGCATTGTGAGGTCGTATTCCAAAAATCCTCATTCCCTCCCACACACTTTTTACCCCCTACCCCCATAGCTGATTGCAAACACCTCTTTTGCAAATCCCAAACTGTGGTCTCACAGCCCACTTTGGACGTGGTAGTTGTGGTTCTGGTACTTCACCCAAAACCTGCATGTTATTATCCTGTCTTGGGAGTTCTAAGATAGGAGGTAGTCAGAAGCAGTGGGCCCAGCAGGAGACAGGGTCCTAGCACCTGCTTGTTTGCTCACCTGCCATGTGATCTCAGTCAAATCTGTTCCTTTTTCTGAGCATCTGTTTCCTCATCTATACAATGGGGACAATTTGAAACTGCATTTATAGTCTCCTAAGCTATGAGGCTTTCTGCTCCCGTAAAGATTTACAGCCTCGGAAACCCTGTTCAGGGTCGCTATGGGTTGGAACCGACTCGATGGCACTTAACAACAACAATAAAGCTATGATTCTGTGGCCTCCTGCCTGATGTCTGGTTGGCACCCAGTATCAGATTACTTAATAAGCAAGGTAAGCACGAGCTTCCTTGTGCTTACTTACTAATCTGTAGTGAATTATTTCACATTTTTTTACCACATCAAATATTCTGCTTCTACATAGGATTTGCATCTAGAACCAAAGCCTCTTTTCTAATTTATAATCCCTTGCAGGGATGAAGTGCCCAGTAAGCAGGGTAAACACATGCTTACATACAAATCTGTAATGAACAGTTTCACATGCTTTTCACCACAATGAAATTGTTCACTACAGATGAGTAAGAAAGCCCAAGCTTACCTTGCTTACTGGATACTCTTCCCCTTGTGGTACCTCTCACTCCTCAGCCCTACCACACACCAGGACACACCTTAGGAATACTACAGGCTGCTGTTAGAGGGAGAATACGGCTCTGCCACCCACTCACCGCACTGGCCAGGGATCCCGTCCCCTCTCTGGGCACCAGCAGCTCTGACAGCTCCTCACTGGACAAAGAGAAGGCTGACCCTGGGTCTTGATCACCCTGGCTACATACTACAATCAAATGGGAGTGTCTGAAAAGTTCAAATTGTCCGTCAATTTAGACCAGTCGAAACCAAACCTCTTGGATAGGACTCAGTCTGGGTGGTTTTCAGACGTTCCCAAAAGACGGGCATGTGCAACCAGGTTCAAGATCTCTGATGCAGAACAAGGCCCGGACCAGCAGCATAGTGGCTGCACCAGGGTTCAAAATGCAAATTCTCTGGCCCTACTGCCCAGCCCTTCTGATGCCTGGGGTGGGGCCCTGAAAAGTCCTGCAAGCGATCCAAATGTAAACCAAAGTTTGAGAAGCAGGGGCCTAAGTGAGTTCTTCTACTTCAGTGAGAGGCGCTCTGCCACTCTTGACAACGCCATACTGGTTTTAAGCATTGCAGTATTGATCCATCTGTGTCAATCTGTGATTCATTCATATTGTTATCTGTAATAAAGAACCAGCCTTCATGTTACCTTACTTTTGATCACTAAACCAGAATGCTCAGGTTGTCTGGCAACAACGAACCAGCACGTCAGGAAAACCTTCAGGGCTTCAGTTGTCTGGAAGCTCACTGTGAAGTAACAGTGTGATGTGGTCTCCGGAAAACTATAAACCCTGAGGGGATAGGAGAGATTCGCTCCAGCCCTGAGACTTTGGGCTTGTCTGAGAGACCCCAAAGGCTTTGAGCACAAGATTTGGTCACCAGTTGTGTTTGTTGTGGAAACAATTGAGACCAAAGGGACACAGTGTTCTGGTGTGAGAAACGCTTAGGGGCTGTGCTTGGCTTTCTAGTTATTCCAGGAGCAGTATCATTTATCGGCCAAATTTAGAGGAGGTACGGGAGAACGCTCCATGCTTACACAAATCAAAAACTGCAATCGGAATAAATCAGACGCATAGGGCAAATATTATATGACCCCATTTATAGAAAATATCCAGAATAGGCAAATGCATAGAGACCAAAGCTTATTAGTGGTTCCCAGGGGCTGAAGGGGAAGTGGGGAAGGGAGAGTTATTACTTAATATGTACTGAGTTTCTGTTTAAAGGATGCTGAAAAAGATTGGAAACGGTTCGTGCTAATGGACGCACAACATAGTGAATGTAATGAATGTCACTGAATTGTACTCATAAAAAAAGTTGAGGTGGCAAATCTAATACATGTATATTAGATTTTTTTTTTTTACTTCAATTTAAAATCAAATTGGGGAACAACATTATCTTGAAAGGGTTGTAACAGTGTAACAGTTGTTCAAAACTGAAATGTTTTCCATGATCTAGCTTTTTATATAGCCAAGGTTGGTTTTTATTGTTAATGTTTTGTTATATTGAATTTTTAAAAGAAGTTTGGACTTTTTAGTAGCGCCCCCCTTTTTTTTTACTGATATATATATTAGGTTTGCATAAAATTGTAAGTACAGTCATTTTTTCATACAGTCTTTTTGTCTTTTTCTTCTTTCTTGGGCTGCCCTCTTTTTCTTGTTTCCATTCTGTGCTCTCCTTTGTCTGTTGTGCTGCCCTTTCATTTTACCATTCGGTTCCCTTTTTTGAAGATCTTCATTAGGTCAGGCTGTTTTTATCTGATGTGGTTTGTTTGGTTGTTGTCCTGGTTTTGTTGTTGATGAAGTTGGTTCCGTTGTCTTCTATCTGTTATGTTGGGTGTTCTCTTCCTCTCTCCTCCAGTGTTTAATCATTTGTGGGTGTGTTTTCTTCCAGCTCTCTGTGCTTGTGCATCCTTTGGGGTTTTTTTGCTTCTTCGTGCGGGGTCTGATTGTTTTGACTTGAGCGTGCAGTGGTGTTGTTTTGGGATTTTTTGATGTTTTGGTGGTTTGTTATGATATGCACGTGTTCAGTTGGTTGCCTATTTGTTGTTTTTGCGGCGTTTTTGCGTTTTGGGGGTTTTTTGTTTTTTTTTTTCTTTTTCTTGTGAGCTCATCATTGGTTTTTTTTTTTTGCCGCCTTTTTTGTTTTTTTTCTTGCTTTTACATGATCTCTATTTGGGTTTTTGTTTTGTATCTGTGTGTTCGTGCTTATCTGTTTACTTGTTGTTTTTTTGTGTCTCGTCTTGTTCTCTAGGCTTTTGATTTTGTACCTTTGCTGTGTTTTGTTTGTTGCTCTATCGCCAGTGGGTTGCCTCCGTGTAGGCTTTCTCTGAGTAGATTTGCAAGTGGTTCCTTTTATGTGCTTTATGGGTGTATCACTCATTTCCATTGTGTGAGGAACATTGGTTCGCTGCTTTGTGTTGGGCCGGTGGGCATCCTTCAGTCTGGATGTGTTCAGTGTGTTTGCTTGATTTCTGGCCAGTCTGTCTGATTTTTAACCTGCGACTCTTCAGTTTTTTTATGCTGTACCGGTCTTCGTTTTCTTGTCTTGGAGCCAGTATGTTTTATGTGTAATCTCGTAGTTTGTCTTTCGGTGTTTGTGTTTTATACAGTCTCTATCAGAACTATGCAATTCTGCTATGATAGTGAGAAAGTAGCCATATACAAATAAGTGAATGGCCATGGTTGTATTCCAATAAAACTTTATTTAATCACTCAATGTCAAAGCCCAAGTCCTTGTTGAGCCAGGCGTTGTTCTAGGTGCTATCTGTGCATCGTCTCATTTTATTCTTATAACAACTCGACAAGCTAGAGATCACTGTCCCCACCTATCTAAAGATGAGGAAACTGAAGCCTGGCAAAGTTAAGCAGTTTGTCCAAGGTCACATTTGGCAAGAGTTGGGATTAAAACAAGATTTTTTATTCTAAAACCTCTGTCCTTTCCTCCACACCATCCTTAGTAACAGGCAGTCTGGCCCTGAGCAAGCGCTCCAGACATGATTTCTTAGGTCGTATTATCTAATCAGCCACACTTGTGGAGCATTTTTCTTTGCCAGGCCTCAGGCTGGGCACTAAGAACACAATGATGAACAAAAGACAAGCTGCATGGAGCTCACAATCCAGTGAGCAAGACAGACATTAATCAAGTTATCACATATAAATGTCAATTACAACTGTCATAGAGCTTCAAAGGAGATGGAAATGGCCATGAACTCCAATGAAAGGTCCTCTGGTCTCATAGGGGAGAAGGTATGTGCCCTGAAGGGCTTGAGGGCTGTCCAGTGGCTAGGAACCTGCACAGCTGCTACCTCATAGGAAGTAGTACCTGAGCTCTGGGCAGGAGGCAGTGATCTTGAACTTGCTCAACAACGCCACTTTCTCACGGTCCTTTCCTGAGAGCTTATTGCTTCATGCCTCACACTTTCCCAAATGCGTCTGCGTGCATCCCCTGCACAAGGTGTCAGATCAGGGTCCAGAGGGGAGGTGGAGGAAGCATGGTCACAGCCCCGTATGAAGCATGCATGTTTTCCCAGAGATGAGCACCTTGATCTCTGTCTTGAAATCAGGATTGTACTGTATCTACAGAAACAAGGGGCAGGAACTTCCAGGGCAGACATCGTGTGGACAAAGGCCTGGAAGCTGGACCAGCCCTGTGTGCAGCAGATAGAGAGGCTTCCTGCAGTGTGTCCTGGGGGTTGTGCAGGTCCCAAACTGAAGCTCCCAGGCATGGCTCCCTTTCACCCCAGTTTCTCAAGACTAGTGGGGAGTTGCCTATTTCCCCAGAGGTGAGGATAAGCTGAGCTTCTGCAAAGCATCAGCAGATCCCTGGATGCTTCCAGAAAATCTCAACAAGAGGCTTTATCTGCACCCACTATAGATAAGAGGGTTCTGGTGGGTTTGATCTTTGTGTTCGTCTCGTATCTGGCAAAAATAGGTCTCCTGTGTTTTCTATTTTTCCTTTTAAAATGTCTTTAATCGTTAAAAGCTGGACCTGGTGATATTTCTTAAGCCTCTGTGTCCGTTTTGCTTCTTTTTCCAAAGTGTTAGCTTTTACTTGTGATGGGAAAGATATAAATGAGTGAAATGCAGGTTAGCATTGATGCTGATGGTGTCTATTGCTAGAGCAGTCCCGATCAAACGCACAGAAGGCAGGCGGGGCTCGCACAGCACATTAAAGGCTCTGGACAGGTATGGGAGTTGCTTCTTTTTTTATATTTTCTTATCTTTCATCTCAGTTCCATTGATTACATTTTTAAGTACCTACTACAACTACATGCCCAACCCAGAGCTGCTGAGGATACTCAAAGAAATAAAGAAAGCATCCTTTCTGTCCTGGACTCCCTCTGTGTATTAAGGAAGACAGATGTGTGGTCACTACTGAAAATGGTTGAGGGTGTGGACTTCAGAGAAGGGAGATGCTTGGTTCAAATCCAGGCTTCACCTCTTAGTAACCATGTGAGCAAGTTACTTAGCCCTGCCTCTCACCAAGCCTCAGTTTCCTCATCCATAAAATAAAAATAATAGTTGTATTTACCTTTATATGGGAGTCCTGGTGTGGCTTTGTAGGATAAGCACTAGACTGCTAACCCTAAGGTCAGTGGTTCAAAACCACCAACCATTCCTCAGGAACTCTGTACAGGGTCATTATGAGTCAAAATCGACTCAATGGCCTTCAACAACACCTGTATATGAGCCAATGCCTGTAAAATAGTCCATCCACGTGGTGCCTGGCACACAGTAGGTGTTCATTAAATGTTAGATCTTCTTTTCACTGTTGTTCCTGCTACTGATAACATATGTGAACAAACTTCTGCGAGAGTAATGAATTCTGCACATGGGGTTACCATGAGTGGGAATTAATTTGACTACAACTATCCACCACAACACAGGAGTAATTTGTTCTGGTGTGGGAGTGAGAGAGGACTTCATGGAGGAGGTGGCCATTGGTCTGGGTCTTTAAGGATTACTGGAAGTCTGCCAAACAGAACGACAGGGTGTTTCCGACAAAAAAAAGCAGCACCCACAAAGGCCTGCAGCACGGCATAGACTGGGGAGTGTTCAAGCTTCAACAAAGTGCATGTGTGAGTTGGGGTGTGGTTGGGGCCAAGATCAAGACAGGCCTTGAATGAAAAGCAAAGGAGTTTGGCTGGAATTGCCCTGTGGGTAATGGGGGTCAGAGGGTCCTCTGACCTGGCCCCCACCATGCAGATGTCTGCCTCATCAGTTCCCCTCTCCACAGATCATCAAGGACCAGAAGCTGCTCGTGATTGTGGGGGGCATGTTGCTGATCGACTTGTGCATCCTGATTTGCTGGCAGGCTGTGGACCCCCTGAGGAGGACAGTGGAGAAGTACAGTATGGAGGTGAGAGCCAGGGCCAGTGTTGGGGTGGGGGCTGCAGGGACCAGGCTCCCAGGCGTGTGGAGACAGCAGAGCTGGCTCCTCGGTGACCCGAGGTGCACCCCTGGGCCAAGAACACTCTGAGCATTTCTGAAGCCCCCACTTCTATAAGGAGATGTGACATGGCAATTATAGCTCTCTTTTCAGGTAAGTCCAAGGAATGGCGAATACACTTCTGATAATCCCTTCTAGTTACTATGTGATCTTCAAAGTAATGAACAATGTAGTTCTTTTTACACATTTGATAGCAGACATTGTTAAAATTAAGAACCTCACATTAAAAAGTAAGTATTTTTAAATATTTATTTTTGAATACTGGGGTTCAGTCCTGCTCTGGACTCACAATGGTCTTCCCAGGACGTCTGGACTAGGGAGTGTGAATCCCTTTGGAAGCAGTAGGGTTTTTGCCTTCCTCTTGCTTTGTTGACTGGAGCTGAGTAAGGTGATATAAACTATGAATTTGATAAGTGTAGACGATTCCATGAAGAAAGCTGGCAGATCCCCATTTCTCCTACTGCATCTTTGGGGAAATCTTTTTGTAGACTTCAACATGAATTCTTACACTAAACTGACGATGGACAGTCTTTCACTAAATGTGTGGCCATTGGCCATGGAGGTTTTATCCAGCTGGACAAGAACTTTTTCTAGTAAGTAAGCAGCCCACCTCATTTAGCTCCAGGACAGACAAGGGGTTACTCAACCCAGCAAGACATTATGCAGTTGGACAGTGATATATTCTGACAGTGTGGAGTGAGGAGAGTGCAGCTCCACTCCCCACCTCCACTGTCCATCCCGAGAGGAACCAACTCCGGGCAGGCACAGTTAGAGCTGGCAGAGTGCAAAGCCAACACGGGAGCAGGACTCGGAATAGGAAGTGACCTCTGGACACCATTCAGTGGGCATTGGAACAGACCAGTCCCCAACCCCAGGGGGATTCCCCACCCCCTGACAACACTGAGAAATCCAGATAGGATGTCATCACATCATCGTTAGGAAGAGGTGGACCTCCACCTGGATGGTAATCGCAAGCAATAGTGGAAATGATGATCATAGTTCACGTTGGGTGTGAACTCATTTACTCCACACAACAATTCTACCGAGTGGGCGCTATTATTAACCCCATTTTACTGGTAATGAAACAGGTCCAGAGCAGTCACATGTGTTACCCAAGCTTCCCCAACAGGTTACTGGCAATGCCACTAGCTCCCCGCTCGCCTCTCAGCACTGGCACATCACTTGGCTTTCATAGACTACAGCCATTGGCCACAGATCTATAGCATCGGTAGGCCAGGAAAATGTTTACCCTTCTGCAGAAAGGACTGCAGTTAAGAGTGGTGGGCAGACTGAGCCCATGGGTGGACCAAGGAGGCTGAAGGCCTGCCACCTCCACCCAAGGTGAAGATTGCTGTTGTTGTCTGCCATCGAGTTCGTTCCAACTTATAGGTCCCTATACAGGGTGTCCAAGGAGCGGCTGGTGAGCTTGAACTACCCACCTTGTGGTTCACACCGAATTTGCAGTCCAATGCATTAACCCACAGCGCCATACCAAGACTCCAAGGTGAACGTAGTTGCTGATCATTCATAAGGGGACCCCAAAACTTAGCCATGGTGGGAAAGATCTGCAGGGCTGGACTCCGCCTGAGTCAGCAGACTCCAGAAACGGGTCCAGGAAGCCTGTGCCGGGACCGCTTCACGTAACAAACCTGGGTCCATCTGTATAATTGAAGGGGTGCTGTCCTGCCTTTCGCAAGTGAGTATGACTGCTCTTAATGACTGAGCATAGAACTCCTATATTCTAGAGCTTTCTACGCAATAGTTCTCAAACTGAGAAGCCCTGGGGTGCATTTGTATGTAGATTAGGAAACTACTGCTGGAAAGAGGGGTCTCCTAGACCAGGGGCACTCCGTTTGTCCAAGGCAGAATACTGGAGGAGACCCGGCTCCTGGCCCAGACATGCTGTCTTCCATTATCTGCTGAGATTCCTCTCAGAACCCTTCTGGCTGGCTCCTCATCTTTTTCTCTTATTTTAGGGTTACCATGGTAACAGAACCCTTTGATTTGTCGACCCACAGCCCTGTGGGTTTATTGTCGTTGCTTCCACCAAATGGATGTGTGGCGCCAAGCTGGACCAAATGGCTGCAAGCTGTCAGTTGTTTCCTCTCAGACCCTCCTCCGTCAGACACAGCATTGTGGCTGAGTAATGTGCTTGGGGGTACCGGTGCCCTACTTTCTTCTCTGAGGGGCTGTTTTTCCAGGTCCCCTCCGCACCTGTAGAGAGAGAACTGGAGTAGACATCGAAGTCTAAGCTTGGCGGGAGGTAATGAAAGATCTCACTGGCCCTGGGTACACAGGGCTGTCTGGACATTAGGTTCCAGTCGTGGCCCTCACTCAGTGCTACGTACCCAAGCTGGTGCCCACGCTGTTCTTGTTCCAGAAAGGGCTTCCCACTTCTCTGCTAAATTAATAACTTGAGCATCAGTCCCAACCTTGTGTAGTCCAGTTTGAATAACTGACAATGTGCTATTACCTATCTTACCTGTCTTCTTTCTGCTCTGGAGTAAATACTGCTGCTGTCAGTGTGCATAGAAACTCTGGAACATTCCAGAACATCCAGAGGGTGGTTCTCAAACTGAGCTCCTGCGGTACCCCCTATGGGGACATGGCCCTGGCCCCCACCCCAACATCTTAAAACCAATAAAATCCAAATCCACTACTATCAAGTTCATTCAGACCCACAGTGACCCTGTAGGACAGAACCGAACTGCCCCCCACCCAGGGTTTCCAAGGCTATAAATGTTTACAGAAGCCAACAGCCACATCTTTCTCCCATGGCGAGGCTGGTGGGTTGGAACCACAAATCATTCAGTTCATAGCCAAGCACTTAACAACGTGTCACCGGGGCTCCTCAGCATCTTGAAGGCTCTTCTATCAGAACCTGTCTGTCTGCTGTGCATCCCCCACCCCCGGCCAGATCCTGAGCTGGGCAGGGTCCACCCATAAGCACCTCACCCCACCCATAAGCACCACCACTGAGGCCACATGAATAGGCACAGCAGCACGTTCCGGCTCTCCAGGAACCTCCAGGACAGTGAGGGAGCAGACAGCACTGTGGCTTTAACATGCATAGATGGTAGGCACTGTGGATCAGGTCGGCAGTTCAAACCCACCAGCCGCTCCTTGGAAACCCTATACAGGGTCACTATGAGTTGGAACAGACTTGATGGCACTTAACAACAACAAGAAGAAGGAAGTAAGCAGACTGATGTGCTGAAGAATAATGGGGACCCTCTTTAGAGATATTCACCCAATGAGAATGAAAATCTGATTCTGAATCTTAACTGAAGACATCCCAACTCACTTATTCATTTTTATTGAATCAATATTTATATAGCACTTGTCATATGCCAGGTAGTGTTGTAAATGCTTGAGAAGCATTAACTCATTTAATTTAATCCTTATTACAACACTATGAGGGAAGAGATATGATTTTCCCCCCATTTTATAGATGAGAAGGCTGAGGAACAGAGAGGTTCAATGGCTTGTCCAAACTCACACAGTGGTCTGTTTTAACCACACTGCTATGCTGCTAGCATACCTGGGTGGGAGGGGTCCCTAGTAAGGAGGAAGAAGATCCTGAGTTCTTTCACCTCCTGTTCTCTTTTTACCAGGGTTGAACACTCCCCTCAGAGCAGGCTGTAGCCCCGCAGGCTCACCACCCCAGCCTCCCTGTCTGCCCCTGACTGGCTGCAGCCTCAAGCCTCTTTATTCAACATTGAACCCATGCTCAAGGCACTCTTCCTGTGCCGCAGCCCCTGGGCTGGACTCCAGAAAGGCCGCTGTGAATGAGGCATGGCCCTGTCTTCAGTTGGCTGCGTGGAGTGGTCTCTGAAGACAGGCAAGCCCATGGGAAATGCTTGTTCCACATGGAGAGTGTGCTGGACAAGGCACAGAGTGCTGTAAGACTCAAGCAGAGCACCTGTCCGGCTTTGTAGTTAAGGGCAGGCTGTTGGGCTAAGAGCCGAGAAGGTATGAGGAAGCAGAGAGGTGGGAAGGACAGTCCAGGTATTTGGAGAAAAGGCATCTCATGTGATACCCGAGTGCTAGGAGGATAGGGGTCAATGGAAGCACTACACTGGGAACAGTTGGACATCAGTAATCCCACTAGGGCACCTTGCTAGGGACCTCTCACTAGGGAGCCTGAGTGGGCACAAGCAAAGGTTATAGCAGCATTGTCCATAGGAACCCAGAGCTAGGCACGTCCCCAATGTCCTTAAGTGGTAAATGAATGAGACATTATATAGTCATGAAAATGAATGACCCACATCTACATGCATCAGCGTGAATGAATCTCAAAAATACAACATGGAACCAAAAAGCAAATGTAATGAATACTCAGAATATTTTTTTCATTTATTTAAAGTTTGAAAACAAGAGAAGCAAAATACTGTTTAAAGAGGCATACATAGGCAGTAAAACTGTCCTTGTGTTTTTGTTGTTGTTGTTTTTTTTAAGAAAGTACTTGTGAACACAAAATTCAGGATCATGGTGAGGTCTCAGTGAGGACACTGGGAAGATGCCATTGGGCAGGGTACAAGAGAGCCCGTAAGGTTCTAAATATGTTTTCTTCAAATCATACATATGCGTTATACCCCTCAAAAAGCGTCATCTATTATCTTTTCTTTTGGGGAAATGGCAAGAGGGGCAGTTGAGAACGCAGGTAGAGCTGGGATCACTGGGAACCTTGTATGATGAACAGAAGAATTCAAGCTTCCAAATTGAAGACAGCTCATCAGATTTGCCCACCTGCAGGGTGCAAACCAGGAGCCCTGGTGGTGCCATGGTTAAGCACTCTGTTACTAACTGAAAGGTTGGCAAGCCGAACCCACCCAGTGACTCACCAGAAGAAGGGCTTGGTGATCTGCAACCTTAACAATTACAGCTTAGAAGACCCTATGGGAGAGCTC